CCGGCCAGGATGACTCACCGGAACGAACTGCCGAGAACGACGACACGATCCTGACCGACGACCTACTCCCGAGCTTTGTCTCCCGAGTCGAGTTCCAGGACGGTGACGTCGCGTTCACCAACTCGAGCTCTCCTGTTGTGCGCGTCCGGGATAAGCGCCAAGGTGTCGCCTCGGAGAAAGAATACCTAGTCGAGTATGCTGATGGCTCCCAACAATGGGTGCGGCGCTCACGGCTGGCCGACTACGGTTCGTTCATCACCGACTACGAGAACCGTGTCCGGGAGGGCGCTGGTCTGCCGACCTTACGCCGCAGCCCTCGCCTGTCCGCTCTGGACGAGGAGGCTGTGGTCAGGGAGTTCTAACAGACCCCACTACCGTCCTGGGCGCCGATGGAAGCCGCCCGGACGACCTGCATCATGTATACTCAAGACCAACACTGAAGAAACACAAGGAAGAAAGAATGCGTTACGAAGTTAAAGACTGATGGAGCCGTCCGACGACACGTGCACTGGACGCGGAGTCGACGACGAGGGCGCCTGGGATTCCACCGCCCCTGATGATTGGGACGGAGCGGCCGAGCTGGTGGTCTCGACGTACGGCGTGCCGCGCTGAAGTGTGATCGTCGACGACCATTGCGACCCCATGGGCGGCTGCGAGTAACTCGCGACGAGGAATGGGAACGGCTTCGGCGGCCCCGTCCCGTAGCGCGCGCCATTGATGACGTCCAACATCGACGCGATGGACCGACGTACCACGTCCTGGGTCACGCCCGACCGGTTGAGATCGAACTTGGCCGCGGTGCCGGGTTTCAGCTCTCGCTTGTGGAGATACGTCAGGGTCGCGTTGTCGGGAGCTCGCCAGGATCGCGACTTGACGAGGGTGGGCACCTCGGGCCACCACTGAGTTCCACCCTCGCGAAGGTATCGGATCGCCTCCGCCTCGCCATGACGTCTCACCACGCTCCGGAGCATGATGCCCTGGGACAGATACACCGGCCAGAACGAGTGGGGATAGCTTAGAAAGCGGAGGATGTCGTCGCCATGGCGCTGGAAGACTCGGAATAAGCACCCGGCCAAAGACACAAGCGACGGAAGGAGCTTGTCGACCTCCGCGTCGGCCGCCGGGCTGGACAGTGGCAGGAACCACCGGTTCCAGATCGCCCGCGCATGCCCGGACCAGAAATCCACCAGGGACTGATGCAACGCCTTCCACTCGGCGTCCGCCCGGAATGCCTTGGGCACGAAGGACACTTGGGTGTGGAAGCGTTCCCACGGCCGCGCGGCGATAACCTCTTCGTACGCGACGACAACCGACGGCGGCAGGTCGTCGTGGGCAAGGCCTTGGACCCCGCAAGGGGCTGGTGGGGTCTTGCGAGCCTTTTCCGCCTTGCCGGGGCCCGATCCGTCCGACGAACGCTTGATGGCCGGAGAACTGGGCGGCGTGTCCGGCGGCGACTCGGTGTCGTCAGACTCGGCGTCGACCGGGTGGTGGAGACAACCGCAGACGCCACCGGAGTCATAACACCACTTGGTTGAAGACGCGCCGCCGCCCAGGACCGGTAGTCGCGGCCGACAATACGACCCACGAAGGGAGCCGGCGGGACGAGCATCGCTGGAGCCGGTGCGATGGCCAGGGTCTTCCCCTGCTGAGCAAATGCGTCGGACACACCCGCCTTCCAGGACGCCACGAGAGAGGGGACCAGTTCAGCCCTCTCGACGGCGAACTGGCGCACCACCCAGTCCCAGAAGATGGGCACCGCGTCGGCGAACCGCCGATTGGCCTTGAGGGCATCTTGCTCCGCCACGTCGAGCCGGACGCGAAGTTCGTCGCACTCCTGACCCAGAGCCAGGTTCGAGTCGCGGAGAGTGCCGACCACCTCGGCGGACTTGTTCAGGACCTCCTCTTGGTCCTTCGCCCGGGCCCGGAGCGCGTCAAGCAGCGACTCTACGGTGGTCCGACTGGTTTCGGCCGACGACCGGGCTGCCGCCAACTCGCCTTCTAGCTCGCGGACGCGTGCGCGAAGGACGTGCTCGGTCACGGGGGCCAACGCGGATGGCGGTCTTGGAGACGAGGCGGCCGAAGGAGCTTCCTTGAAACGTTTCACCTCGTTTTCCAGGCGCGCCATTTCTGCCAGGATGAGGTCTCGACCCCGGGCTGCTGACGCCAATTGGGGGCGCTCTTTTGGCTGGCGTCTTGGCGTGCCGAGTCCAGCTCGTCACAGGCGCGGTCGAGGTCCAACTGCAGGGACGCCGCTTGCCAGCCCTGAGCCTCACGCTGAGCCTTCAGGGGCGCGATCGACGCTCGCAGGGACGCCTCCACCGAACCGACGGTCTGGAAACGCTTGGACCAAGCATCGACTTTGTTGTTGACGACCGCCAGGTCGCTGCGCAACTGACCGATCGTCTCCGCTGCTTGGCGGGTCTCGGTGTCCAGCTGGTCCCGGAGGGCGGCCACGTACGCTTCCGCCGCGACACGGGAGTTGCGCTCAACGACAAGGTCCGTCTCGCGGGCCACCAGGTTGGACTGCACCCGCGCCAGGAGATGCTCGGCGGCGTCCTTGGCGGTGACCAGCTCCTGGACGGAACGCAGGATCGAGCCAGGCCCGCCGTCGCCCAAAAGAGATCTAGCAGCGACCAGAGTGGACTGGGCGGCCCCTCGTGCACTGTCCAGGCGGGCAGACAACAAGGCGAATTCCGTGGCCGAACGCTTCAACGACGAATACAGCGACTCGACGGTCGGTGCGTTGGTTCCATCCTGGGCACCAGGAGGACCGGCCGAGCCAACGGCGGGCACGGCCGACGACAGCACTGGAGGCACCAGGAAGGAATTAGGTGCGTCCGGGGTCGACGCCGGTGCTCCGGTTGGCTGGACGGGCGAAGGTGGCGAAGACATGGTGGACACGAAAGTGCGCTGCGGACCGACTGGGGCCCCCTCCCGTCCTGTCCCTGGTTGAGGAAGATCCCTGCCAACGGTGTTCCGAAGCTCTCGGTTCGCCCAATCACTCGAGACCTGGGGCCGCGCGCTACTCGCAACGCCCCAGGATTGGCTCGTCTCGTCGTCCAGTTGCACCGACTGTCTGCCCCGTGAACTGCCAGAAGCCCGAGACGGAACTTCGGGCCTAAGTGGGGGAGAATGTCACGGTGCGGCTGCAGGGCCCCGACCCTGGCTGGACTACGAGCCGGTCGAGACCCAGATCGACCCCCACGCCTCCGCGAAGACCGCGTTGCCACCAAGTCTTGGCAAGACCTCCCAGACCCTATACACCCCCCAGATCCGAAGACCAAGACCATCGTCCGAGTATTGCCGATCAACCCAAGACGGAGATCCCTCAACCGTCAACGGACGAGCAGTAAACCTAGAGCCTTAAAATTACGGCTACAACCACACCTTTAACTAACTCGACTTCACATTTTGTCTCGAACTCCGGGGTACTGGCAGTTGCCTCTTCATCCGGATTCCCAAGAATTCTACTCCTTAATGACGCCGCTTGGCGTGTTCACGCCCACGCGTGTCTTGATGGGGCAGACAGACGCCGTCGCGTACTGCCAAGGCATCGTCGACGAATTGTTTGGTGATTTTCTCATGCATGGTTTGCTCGGATGGCTGGATGATCTCCTCGGGTACGCATGCACGCCTCAGGACCTCTTGGAATTGTTGCGCCGTGTTTTGGAAATTTGCAGGTCCTATGGGGTCAAATTACACCTGGGCAAGTGTGTGTTATTCACGAAACGTACGATTTGGTGCGGCAAGCAAGTCACCGAGCATGGAGTGGCCCATGCGCCTGGGCGCGTGCAAGGTTTGTGCGACCTTGGACCGCCTGAGACGGCCGCGGACTTGCAGCAGTTCCTGTGTGCCACCAACTGGATGCGCGCGAATATCCCGTGCTACACCGAGCTTGTAGCTCCGCTGACAAAATTGTTGGATGTGGCGGCGAAATTGGAAGTGTCGAGAAAGAAAACCGCTTTGCGGCGAGTGTCTCTGTCGTCTGCCGGATGGTGCGACGAGAACCTGCAGTATTTCGCACGCGTCAAAGACGTACTACGGGAAATGGTACCGCTGGCCCATCCTGACCCGGCGAAAATGGTTTGCCTGTACACGGATGCAAGTGAAGCGTTTTGAGGTATCATGGTGACCCAGGTTCCCGAAAACGAACTGGCACGCCGTCTGTCTGAGCAGCGGCAAGAACCGTTGGCGTTTTTGAGTGGTGCTTTTTGTGGTTCGAGTGAGCGATGGCCGATAGTGGAGAAGGAAGTGTTTGCGGTCGTCGAAGCCTGTAAGCGTGTCGAGTACCTGCTAGTGCGTCCCGGTGGTTTCCATTTGTTCACGGTCCACCGGAACCTCGTATACATGTTTAACCCGCTCGGAACAAACTCGAACATGGCAAAGTATCAAGCCCACAAGCTTCGTCGGTGGGCATTGACTATGACTACCTATCCCTATGTTGTTGAGTGCTCTGCGGGCGAGGACAACGTATGGGAAGACCTGCTCAGCCGCTGGGGTACCTCGGCTGTGGCCAACCGAGTGGCGCGGATGTCCAAATTAGCGTTGGTGTCGCCGCTTCAGTCAACGGAGTTCGACTGGCCGACTGCCGATGAAATCACGAACGCACAACGAGCCCATCCGGATCATGACGTAAAAGCCAAATGGTGCGAAGTACGCAAGTACTTCTTGCCGACGCGGATCATGTGTGGATCTCAGACGACGCGGCGGAACTGCAAGTGCGCATGCCGGCGAGGCCGGGCACCGACGTGTGGATGCCGCTGTTGTTGCGCTGGATGAAGTGTTTGAGTGGTCGACGTTCAAGACCGATGTGAAGAGCTTTGTGCATGATTGTCTGCATTGTATAGTAGTTGACGGCAACGTGATACCGCGACCATGGGGCGAAGCCTTGCATGCGACGCGTCCAAATGAGTTGATTCATTTCGACTGGCTGTCATTGCCTATGGCGGCAAACAATCTCAAGCACCTCCTGGCGATCAAGGACGATATGAGCGGGTTCGTTCGACTGCATGCTAGCGTGCGTGCTGCGGCACGAGCTACGTCTAACGCACTGATGGACTGTTTGGCTTCTACGGTGTTTTGCCGACATGGGTGTCTGGCTGTGGATCCCATTTCAAGAACGAGATGAAGGAGCGCTTGCAGAAAGTGTATGGCTCACATCGCCATTTTGTGACGACGCGTTGCCCATAGGCAAACGGCACGGTCGAAGTGGTCAACCGATTGATTGTCTGTGCGTTGAAAGTGTTGTGCAGCGAATTGCGCCTGCGACCCAACGAGTGGTTGTCAGTACTCCCTCCGATCCACTTTACTTGCCCGAGTTTGGGGACGGAAGACATGCCAAACAATATTATTACAAAGACAAAATCAAAATCTCACATCTCTCCCCAAAAAGCAAATTTCGCAACGCTGATTGGACCAAACAAAAGAGCGCGAAACAGGCTTCAAAAGCATGCCTCTAT